AGATCATAGATCTCTTTTGTATGATTTGTAATTGTAGGTTTAGTATGCCTTGTTTCCCTCAACATCTTTAGCAGAACAAGACTCCAAGGATAGGTACAGAAAAAAAACCCCCAGTCATTACAGAATTTAGAAGTAAAAATTTTAGCCTTAAGTAAGTATGCTGTGTGTATTTGCATAAAATTAATTTATCTTAGCAAACTTTAGGAAAAAAAAAATAAGGCATTGTTCTGTAAAACTGCTTATTTCAGTCAACTGGCTGATAATACAGAAAATTATTCTTGATGAATGAGTAATAATGTTTATATCTTTACGAGTTCAGACTGTGAAACAGTCTGATTTCTCTTTCAAGTTGAAGAAGGTGCTGTTTATCTTGTCTTATTATTGTGCAACATATTTATCATTGTTGCTTTTTTTTTCTTTCCTCTGCTAATCAAAATTAATAAAGTTGTCAAAAATATTAATACAAAGATATTAGTCTGGCATCATATATTGAATTTTTGCTATAGCTAACTGCAGTTAGTGCTTGAGAAAGCAAAATTCCAGCTCCCACCCTTGTAAGCCATAATTATTAAATTTATATAAATATAATACTTTTTCATTAGCTTAATATTCACTGGAAGGGCAACAAAGTGATTGCAGTTGCCAGGAAAACAAGTTTGCAAGTCCTTGAATTTTTGGAAAGAATATTACATATCAGAGCAGTAATTTTATATTTCTCCTGGTAATTTCACAAAATAGGTTTTCTGGGTAATTTTTCAGGAAAATGAGATTAGTTCAGGCAGATTTAGAACTGCTTTTCTCCATTCAAATTTAGCCAGAGATGCTGGAATTATTTCCTAGAAGCATACAGCTGAAAAATATTTTTGAATACAAACGTCTAGTAGCCAACTGTTGATGAAGGAGCAAAATTATTTTATCAGCTTGTTCTCCAATTCTACAAAATGATTTTTTCAACTTGTTTTCCAATTCTGTTTTCTACTACACCTCTTATTGTTGACCTTTGATTTGTTTTAATCTTAGATCAAATGAAGGCCTCTGAAAAAATGAAAAAGGAAAAAATGGGTGTCTTCAAAGTCCTAGAAGAGTCATCAGAGTCCAATGCAGAATGTGTGTTTTAATATGCAAATGTGGCCTCTAAGTAGTCTTTCAGATCTTCCAGAGATGTCACTTATGCTTGCTGGTCCTCGATGCTGACTTTCCTTAAGGCCTTGTTCACATCCCTTGTGTTCTTCCAGTGAGTTTTAACACTTTCTAGACTATATTGCAGGTGATAGTGGTAGCTTTAGTAGGCTTTCATAAAGAAAATGGGCATGTTTCACATTTGCAGCTAGTTCTTGTACTCAGTGGTATAAACTGGCAAATTTGTTTAAAAAAATCTTCCTGTGGAAGTCCTAAACACCTGGGGTTTTTTAAAAATATGGTGTCAATTATAGTATTATTTGGAAGGGACAGAACATGTACCTTTGCTAAAGCCCTTTGTGTAGCTTCTGTTTTTAACTTCTGAGAATTATTTTAATTAAATAAATATCTGTTTTGTTCTAAAAGTCTGTGGATTTTGGCTTCTTAAACAAGCAAGGCTGATCCATTAATTCACACTTTCCTATTTATTTAGCACATTAGCCAATGTCATACATTTAAAGAGAAACAAATTAACCCCACGAAACAGCAGAAAAACACCCACACACAAAACAGAAACCAAAAAGCAATGAGCCTAAAATAGCCTAAATCTTTCTGGTGCAGACATTACTTATGTATTGACTGCTGGTCAGCCTGTGCAGCTGAGTTGCCCATTTGAAGCAGATGTAGGGAGCTACAAAGCTGGTGAAGAGTCTGGAGCAGATTGGAGTGACTGAGGGGGCTGAGGGTGTTTAGCCTGGAGAAGGGAGTCCAGCACTGGATGAATCAGGCAGCTTTTAAACTTTCACCTCTGGTTTGTCTTTTCGGTGTCATTTAAAAGCTGCAGTCATGGAATTGCAGCTGGAGCTGTCACAGTTGCAGTTATGCTCATTAATCTGGCATAGATAACACAGAAAAAAACCCCTCTACTAACTCAGACTTTAGAAACCACTTTTCATTCATTTCATGATCATAATTACTCTATTGGCCTGATAGAGAAGTGAATCTTATAGTAGCAAGAGATATTCATACTTACCTCTAAGGGAACAGATAAATCTGTTAATGAGTAAGCTGACTTTGATCTTTGCCTGGTGAAAGCCCCGTTTTCTTGGTAATTGCTGAAGACAAAAGTTTCTAATTTTTCTGTTCAGTTACTAATTACCTTGAGTAATACAAAGTCCAGCATGTGCCTCTCCTGGGGACGGCTGAACACCTGCCTGCCCATGGGAAGGAGTGAATTCATTCCTTGTTGTGTTTAGCTCGTGTGTGTGGCTTTTGTTTTCCCTATTAAACTGTCTGTATCTCAACCTAATCTTGTTAAAGACAATAGTGACAGCTGCTCCCACACAGCCTACATAACTTTTGAAGACTGATCTGCCCTGCTTAACCTGCAATATGGTGCAAAACCAAAGTAATCGGTGTTAAAAATGTCAGATTGTGCTTTGTGCTGTGCTGCCCACCTTTGTGAGACGCTCCCTTTAGCAGGATGCTCAGCCACTCAAACTGCCCAACACGCCTCACACAGGCACCTTTTATGTGTTCTTACATTATTGATAACTTAGCAGACAGCTCAGTGAGGTTGCAAGGCTATTTAACCTATTTTGTTATTGTTGACAGACTGCAGATACCAACTGTTTAACTCCTGAGGAATCTGGAAAGTCAGACTACAGTGAACACTGTAGTTGTCAAGTATTTTGCCCTACATCATAAAAGATAAATACTTTCCTTTTCTCAGCCAGCCACAGCAGAGAGTGATCCAAGTCTTCAAGTAACAAATGTGAATTTCCTCACCTAACCCATTCCCATGTAATAAATTGGATCAATTCTGGTATACACACTAGAAACCTACACTTCCAGACTACTCCACAAATCTTTTGTAGTCCCCGAGTCCTGTGCCAAGCCCCTGCAGTGTTCCCAGCTGGGCTGCCAGCCTGGCTGCAGGAGCTGGGGCTGGTGACAGCCCATGGCCCTGCACAAAGCAGGGCTTGTCACCCGTTTGCAGGGTGGCACTGGGTGGGAGGGCAGGGAAATGCCAGGCAGGGCCAGGCTCTAACGCCCTTGCCCCCAAAATCATGAGCTTTTCTGTAACAAGTGCTGTTTTGCTGACAGACATTTGTGTGCAAAATAATGTAGTGACTTTGTAGGCAGTGCAGGGCTCAGCCCAGGCTCCGGGGCCGGGACACAGAGCTGCAGATGGCCTCAGCAGCCAGCATTTTCCTGGGGGAGCCCTGAGCCCCCAGCCTGCTGAGAAAGCAGCCACAGTCCCACTGCCAGGCAGGAGACCTGGTCCACAATACAGCCAGAGCAGTTTTTGTCTTTAGGGTCCCTCCTTCACCCCTGCAGGTCTGCTTCCCACCACTGCACCTGCTTATTGTGCTGTCCCTCCTGCCAACACTGCAGCACAGAGAGCCTTTCCCTATGGAAGTGTGCGGTGGAGAGGTGAGAATTAACCCTCCTAAGTAGTAGTGAGGGGAGACATCATCCCAGCAGGAAAAAAATCCCTCCACTCTCACCTTGGAAAAGAGCTACTTGTGTTACTATCTGGAGTTTGTGGAGGTCTGTGCTGATGTGTGCCAGCGGCCCAGGGAAGCCAGGCTTTTCCCAGGGATGATCCAAACAAAGTTGGCTGGTTGAGCTATGGCAGCCTTGCTTGCTTGCCTCTGCCCATAGAAGGAGCCTGAAGAGGCTGAACTAAATTTAGCTGGGTTAGTGAACTAGTCCCCTGCCCAACCTGCCCAAAAGCTGCACTGTTTATCTGAACAGCAGGAGGCTTATAGGCTTGGTGTCAGGTCAGCTTTACCTCAGATGAGGATTGGGTTTGGGGTTGTGGTTTGAGCTTGGCTGTTTTGGTTTATTAGCTTTTTGTTGGTTGGGTTTTTTTTGTTGGTTTTTTTTGGGGTTTTTTTTGTTGTTTTTTTGTTTTTTGTTTTTTTTTATACAAGGCAGCTGTGCTGTGGTGTGATTCATTGTGAAGGAGAGGAAACAGGGTGCAGCAGTACAGCATTGCTGAACACCGACAGGGCTTTCCAGGGCAAGGACGTGACCACGTCTGTAGGTGTTGCAGATACACCCACAGGGGCCCTGTGCTGGCCACAGAGGGTCTGTGTGCAGCCATGAACCACCCTGCTGATTTCAACCACTGGCAATCTCTTGTAAAGGAAACATGACACGTCTTACAAACAGTTTATTTTTACATGATTAATAACAGCCAGCCATCATCTCACTTAGAGGTGTGAGAGAAATAACCACTGCAGGCCTCCTCTGTGCTCTACACGGGTAGAGGTTCTGCTTCTCAGGCACCATCAGCCCTTTGTCCAGGGCACAAGGGCCATGTGTCCCCCTCCCCACATCATCCCCCAAAGGCACCCTCCAGCAGCTGTGCACAGCAGCAGCACTAGGAGCAGGGTGATGCCTTGGGCAGCCACATGTGTTCCCCCAGGGGGAGCCAGAACAGGGACTGTGGCCATTCAAACCTTTCTCTCTTCACGCTCAGATTCCCTGGTTTCCAGCAAGCGTCATGTGACCATTTCTCTCCTAGAGCTCAGTTTGTGACTGTGGGGTACATCTGTGGTGATGCAGTAGCAGCAAACACTGCCGTGCCCAGTCCCGTCATTAGGAAGCAGTGCTGGACACAGAGGAGGCAGCACTGGGCACAGGCCACCAGCCTGCCCTGCAGCTTGGCTGTGCCCACCTGCCCCTTGCTGGGTGCCAGCAGGCAGCTGCTCACAGCTCAGCTGGCAGCAAGACCAGCCTGACTCAACTTCATAGATCCCTCCCACTATTCTCCACGATAAACGGAACCATGCACTGGACACCTCTTCTGCTGCCCGGGGAGCAGAAAAATCCAGCGCACAAAAAAACAGCAGAAAGCAGACACTTCTACCTTGTGGATTCACCCCATTTATTGCAGGCAAACAGATGGCAAATAGCTAGAACACAGAAAAGTTGTAATCTGACTTTGGCCTCTGATTTTCCTGTGTGATTGACAGCACAATGAAGGAAAAAAAATTCTGTTTAATAAAAAAAAGTGAAAGAGGATGAAAAGAATGCTGAAATTAGTGACATCTCATGTGAACAGATGGAGGATTAATAATGACAAGGAAATTCAAAGCCATGCCTAACATTCCTTATTGCAAAAAAGATTCTGCAGGGGGTAGGGATAATGCTCTCCAAGGAAAATCAGCAGAGGATAAATCATCCACAGTGGCTTTGTGAGCAGCACGGTTTACTTTGGGAAGACGGTGACCACCTCGTAGCCCTCCGGCGGAACCACCCGTTCCCGCGCATGCTTCTCGCAGTAGATTTGGTCTTCCACAAAGAAGTGTCCTTTCTGCTTGAGATTGGTGCCACAGTCGCTGCACACGTAGCACTCGGGGTGACGCTGCTTGTCCCGGATCTTCACAAACATCCCTCTGGGGAGGAACCAGCACCGCTCAGTGCCCACTGTCTCCCTCCTCCCCAGGCACCTCCCACCCAGCCCAGAGCCAAACCAGGCCCAAAGGTGAACCACTTTCTTCTGCTCCTGACAAGTCAAAGGATAGGCCCTGCCTCTGGTCAGGCAAATGTTAATAGCACTTTTAGAAGCCCAACATGTGCTGGCATGGAAACTCTGCTCTAGAAAGTGTTTCCCAGCATTGACCTGTGTAAGTTACACAGGGACAGTCCTATCACCTGTGGGGGGAAGAATTACTGTGATGGCATCTTTAGCTGGTGTCTGCAGACAGCACAACAGCATTCAAATGCCCAGGATCAAATGGCCCACATTAGCTTGACCATCTGGGGAAGCAAAATCCAGGTACAAGCCAACTGGATGACAAAACAAATGCAGAAATGCAGGGACGAAGGCTGCACGGCCAGCACTACCCTTTTGTAGTGACTGACATGCGGGAGAAGCACAGAGACTAGATCCTGGTTTTCATCTCAGACATGGATGCTTGGGAGCTGCAGTGAACAGATCCAGCCAAATCTGGGCCAGCTCTTACTGGAAGACTTCACATCTCAGCCCAACAGATGGCTAGGAAAACTACAAAAACTACACAGCAGTTTGTTAACTACCATCAGCCCCATCACAACAATTTTCCAGTATTATTTTGTTCCAGCAGCCATCTCTATTTTCTGTAATTCATTAGTTTTGAGTGCTATTCAAGGCCTTGTGCTTTCTCTCCAGACCTACCCAGCTGGTTGAACAATTACAGGGTTTGTCTCTGAGTCATATTTTACAGGGTATGGATTGCCTCTCTAATGAATCTGCTGGTCCAGATGCTCCAGGCATGCCAGGACCATGCAATCACAGTGTAGCGGGTCTCTGCAACAATCTGATAGCTTGTGGCAAGCAGCATCTGAAAAATCAGAATTCTTCCCTGACAAAGCAGGTTTGGCTACGAGTACTTGACTGCTGTGTAGTCAGCTCTTAAGGGGGTTGCAGAGGAAGAATTTGAAGAATCTGAGGTTGAAAAAATTGACTGTTTTCAATGCTGGGTCCCCTATGTGGTCACACGATACAGCAGCTCTGTATCAAACCCAAACGCCAGGTATGCTGGAGTTTGATTTTACGCACATAAAGACAAAAAAACAATATGTCTGCATAGACACAGTGGAGGTGGTGTGAGGTCCTACAGGAGACTGAAGCTCTGCAGTCCCCACTGCCTCTGACCAGCAAGGCAAATCTCCGTGCCACGCCTGGGAGCACCGAGACAGGAAATACATTAAATACACAGGCCCTGAATGGAAAGGTCATTTTGTTTCCAAATGCTGTAAACAGATTTCAGGTCAGCCAAACACTGCAGCAACAACTGCCTCAAGGTCTGAGTCACAGGGACTTGTTCTGGTTTCCACTGATAAGGATCTGTAGATGGAAACCCAACTCCTGCCCCACTGCAGGGACCTGCAAAGTTAGTGTTATTAAAGCTGGTGAGAATAAACGTGCCAAGCTTGAGTCTCCTGGATGCACTGGATGTGGGTGAGTGAAGCTGTTTGGGTGCACTACCTCAGCCCCTGGCACAGGCATGGGCTGCTCACCTGCAACCTCATGGACAGGCTTACTTACACAATGCCAGATCCACACTTGTCGCACATGGGCAGCTTCTGGGCATTCCCAATCGATGAGGCCACCTTTGTGGTAGGGGCTTTGACGCTCCTAAATCCAGATGGTTTGGTAGGGTCTCCTGGGGGGTGGAAGGAGAGTGCTTCAGAGCATGTGAGATGCGTGGCTGGAGGCTGTTCTTCCCATGCAGATGCTCTGCTGGGGGCAGGATATTCTTTAACCACAACTCTGAGGCAGGGATTCATGCATGGAAAGTGGGCAGGGATTTAGGGATGTGGGGGGAGGAAGGAGAGGAGGAACACAGCTGAACCTCGCCCTGAAAATGTGAGGGCTTGAGACGGTGGGCAGTCAGATGAGATTATTTTCTCATCTTAAAAGCCCATCAGACTTCAGCTGATGTGTCTCACATGCACAGATGCACAAAGCAAAGCAAAGCCTGAGCCTTGGCAGCACTGGAGTCTGCCTGATGTGTCCTGATCACACACTCAGGATCAAGCTGATTCCCAGATTTGAGCTCAGAAAGAGGTGGGTGTTCTGTTGGGAGGACTGTCAAAGCCCTTTTCCAGTCTGCTGTCTGTTTTACAATGGAGCTGGTTCCCCCAAGACTCCTGGAAGATTTGGTTAACAAACTCCTTCTTGCAGAGCCATGGGACACCGGGGATAACCTTGCACTCCCCTGCTGTTGCACAGCATGCTCCAGATATCTCCCTATTGCAACTTCTCTGGGGCAGGGAATTCCTGCAGGGCCTTTGCAGGAGACATTGTGCTGACCTGGATGCCTAAATCAGCATGGATCCTTGATGCGGGATACGAGGCAAGCCTTTAAACATCTGCAGGGGAAAAGGAGCCTTTCATAAAATGACACCAATGATGGGACTAATCTCATCTATATGACTTTTCTCAGGGGTTCAACACCACTTAACAAGGGAAGGAGGCTGCTGAGGCTCCCATGATATTTCACCAGAAACACCTTGGACTGCGAGGGACACTGATGAAACCATTCTGACCAGTGTCAAACCAAGAACACACTTCCAACGGGCACTCCCAGCGCATGGGGTGGAAAAACCCTCCAAAGACACATCCTGGTGACCAGCCATGTCAGGGACTCACCACAGCCCAGGGCAGCATCACTGATAGAAGAGCTGAAGGAAAAAGGGGGAAACTGCCTACCTCAGCTGTGAGGCAGGTGATGCTGCACTGGTTTGCCTTTAGGGCAGCTTTCAGCTCAGAGGTTTGCACCCAGCTCTGTGCAGACACTGGTCCAGAGGTGCAAGTTCCTTAGCCCACCAAACAAAGCCTGACCTCCAAGAGTTGCTGCAAGTGACCCTCACTGGGAAGCAAGCAGCAGCAATCACATTTTCAGACTCTTCCCTATCACTTCTGTTCACTCCCTTTGCCTCAACCAGCACTTTGTTCTTATCAGCAACATTGACAACACTTTTTAAAATCTCTCCTAATCACACACCCAGAGGAAATGTGGCATGTTCCACCCAGTGAAACACTCTCCACTTTTGAGTATAGGGTCAGGCCTTAACAGACCAGCCGTGGTGATTCCAAACACCCACACTCGTGGCTGTGCCCGGCCCAGGCTCTCAGCTGGTGAAAGTCAGTGCAGCCCACACAGTCAGCGATGCCCCAAGGGCCTTGTCCCAGCCGGGCCTTGGCTCACAGCTGCCATTCACAATCCATTGCCTGGAGCCAGGCTGGGAGAAGGCGCCGTCCAATGTGCCATTTATCACACCAACGATCTGACTCGCAGCAGTGTTTGTTTGCTGCTGGCCCAGCAGCACGGCGGGCTGGGCCATGGGGTATTGTCAGCTCACTGTGGAATAATGCCAGAGCCTATCCCGGCCCCGTGATGGGGCGGGCAAACCTTGTGCCAGAGAATCCCAACAATGCTGCAAATCTTCAAAGAAAGATAAAACAGAGAGGCTTTTGCTTCTTATCTTCTTCACCACTACTAAGCACAGGGGAAGACCTTGGCTTCGTGAGAAGTCCGGGCTACTCCTTCCAGGCAGGAGCTGAACCCTGAGGGCAAGCTGCAAACACTCAATATTTAAAAGATTCTTTCCGGTGGGCATTTTAACAGCATATTAGAGACTCCATGATCCTGGTTTCTTTCTTCCTATTGTTTCCTTATTTCCTTCATTTTGCTGTTTCCCTACAGATCCCTCAGACCTACCAGTACTTGGCTGATCTGTTTCTCTTTGTGGTGAATATCTCAGCACCAGGCTTTTTTTGGATTAAACTGAACGTACCACTGCCAAGCTAATAACACAAAAGATTGGCCTAAGGACAAAAAAAAAGGTCATTCTTGGAATTCTTTTCCCATTCATTTATTTTATTTTATTTAAGGGGAGAAGAGAGCATGATTTAGCCCCCAAATAAGTTAATTGTTTTTTTCATCTTAAACTTTATAGCTCTGAATTGTACAAGTCCAGACCTAAGATCAAGAATGCCAAGAAGAGCGAATTTTCAGAGGTTAAAAGCTATGAACTGCTCACTGTAACCCAGTTTCTATATTTTTACATTCAGCTGCAGAAGGGGATACTTTTTCTTGTGTAGGGGGATGGAGTTCAGAAGCAACAGGACTCACTGAAGAGCACTATCTTGTGATACCATCCAAAGTCCTGACTCTAAGATGGTCTTTAATCAGTGAATACTATCTTAAAGGGGGCAAAACTTTAGAAACTGTAGGAGGTTTTGTAACTTTAAAAATTCCTTCTTGATAACTAAATGTTGCAAGGGTTTATTTCTGGAGCACTCACTCAATGATTAAGCAATGATGTGGGCCCATAGACACTGAAGTAATAAATGAGAGAATATGAAGGGAAGAAATTAGTGACAGGGTCTGTAGATTTCTGTAGAAGCCACCTACACGAGCTACCTTGAACAATCAACAGCTAAATGGAAAATAAAGTTTTAAATGCTACTCAACCCAAAGAACAGCAGAGGGGAAGAGCACGCTCAGATCAGGTACCCACCTTTCTCCTCTGACTCCAAGATCTCTTGCAACACAAGAAACGAAGCAGACTGTCTGGGTGGCTCATTTGACTCTTGATTCTCCTGCAGCATCTTGTAAACTTCAGACTGTTTGTCTATGGCAATGTTGCCTGGGGTCTGGTTATGCTGTTCTAAACTGAGAAAGGAACAGAGAATCCTCTAGTTAAATGGATGAAAACTAAAGCAAATCCCTCTAGCAAAACTTTCACCAGGCATCACATGGCTGAAGAATGGACGTGCAAAGCACACGCACACGAGGAGACCACGGACACGGAGGTGCTGGATGTGCTCCGGGTGGGACGGGCACGCTGGGCTGGGCTGGGCTGGGCAGTCTGCCCACGCTGCTGTCAGCAGCTGCTCACCCACTGCCCCCGGCCAGGGCTCTCCCTGCTTCACAATTACCATACACTCCAGCAGCTAAAACCTGCCCAGGAAATCACAGCTCTGTTAACAGGAAAATAAAGAATTCATGTGCTGGGATGGGAATCTCACCTAGTAGTGTGCCATCCACGCACGTTCCTTGACTGCATAAACTACACTGCTACCTTACACCACTGTGAATCTCAAAGTAAAGTTTATTCCATTAAAAAGAAATTTTTGCAAGTACTCTATGAATTCCTCGTAAATGTCACCTTCATAAAGTAACAGCTGTAGGGCCTAACTGTAAGATTCTCTGATTGGAAGTAATTTAGTCTGCTTTTCAAGATTTCTGTTTTCTAGGTGGAGCTCATTTACAGTGTTTTACTTAGGTTAATGAGCAGGTCGAGGGCAGAGATTTCTGCTGGCTAAGGCTAAGCCCTCAGTGCAGCTGCCCTGAAGTGCTGCTGCCACCCCCCATGTCCTGAGGGACTTGCATCCTCGACTTAGAGCCCAAGGTGCATCGGGGGCAGCTTTTCACAGCACAGGGTCATGGAAAGGGTGGTTATTGTGCCACTCAAAGGATCTTTGGGGTTAAAAAAAAGAGTCTAGAGGCAGTACTTAAGATACACTCCACATGCAGTGGGTAGAAGATAGGTTCAACTGCTGGAGGATATTTAGAATATCCCTTGGCAAAAGCTTTCCAATATGTCTATTGACACTGAAATACTAAAGGAGATTGTTGTGGACAGCAAGGAACCTCCAAATTAAAGGATTTGAAGATAGTGTGGACAAATACAGAGTGGGAATTATTTAAATCAGTGGTTTAAATTGCCAAATGCTGGACTAAGGGATGGACTAAAGGACACAGGAAGTTCCTGCCTGCCTTGTGCTCTGTAACTGCAGTAAAACATATATGATAAAATGAAATAGCTGACAAATCTCCTCTGATAGCTCAGTTCTGTAATGTAGTCTTATAAATGTAAATGGTCTACTCAGTTTCACCATTCTTGCACTCTGTGATTGCATGAAAAGTACATAAACATCCTGAAGTTCAGACTAAATTGCAGAGGGAAATCTTTTTCTTGAGGAGGCAACCGCATACTTTCAATGCCAATGACCGATGGAGTCATCTGGGAGTTACTCTACATAATAAACTCTTCAAGCATCAGAAGTAAAATCATCACATGAGTTATAAAATGCTACTTCCATAAAAAGGATTTCATAAAATGTTTCCATCTTTAGCAGTTTTCAGTGGAGCAGGAAGCACATTAGACATGCAAACAGATAAACCTTTGAAGACTGAATCTCAGTTACTGAAGCTTCTTACCCAAATAAAAGAATTATGTACCTTCTATTAGACAGAAGATGTCCCATGCTCCCTATTACAGTCATCTCATGTAAACCCATATATTCCCACTGCTCTATCCACCCATAAAAACATTATGCAAGAAGCCTTTCATTGCAGTTTGCATACTAAGAATGTTTCAATAACATGCATCCAAAAAACAGAGGATAAATATTCTTAAAAAGCATTAGAGTCAAACAAAGCCATCACATTCCAACCATGCATTGTGGCAGTGCATAACATACAGATCAGCTCTCCCGGGTATGCACCTTATACATCCACTTGCATATACAAGACATCCAAAAGGCTATAAAAACCATGAAATCCAGATTTGTACCAGCAGAGGAAAATACCTCAAACTGTCAGGGCAGAAGGCTATGCTGCTTAAATTGAACAACATCTCCAAAAAGCATGTGTATCTTTTGAAATGGCAAGGCCAGTGGCACAGAAATTGTACCTGCAATATACTGAGTCTCTGTATGCAAGCTGATTTCTGGCACCTCCTGTTACACAGGTACTTTATCTGCAGCAGTCACCAGCAGCTGGTGTCCTTTTCCAGGCACACGAGTTTCCTCATGCAAAAACTTTGTAGGGAACAACCCCAACCACATTTATTGGGTCTTAGACTTACACAACCATTACTGGATCTCATTGCTGTTACCATGGGAAACTTGCAACACTGACTAATACTTGATCACTGAGCCTGAAATACTGGCAAGATAATAATAAAAACCATAAAAGCACAGCCTTGCACAGAATCTTCAAAAAGCACAGTTTATTTTTTACTAAGGGTATTTTACTATTTTAAGCCAGCTTATTTTGCAAAGCTTACAAGAGTCTCAAGGCTACCGGAAGGCTCAGTGCTTGGAGCACCCCCTTTTGCCATTAAATGATTGCTGATGTCTGGGGCTCCTTTGTGAGCACTATCAGCTCTCCAGGCCAGTACAGAGCGCTGGAAGTGTGACCACTTCTGCTGAGCATGGTACTGACTACAAGCCAAGCACTGACTTACAGCAAGTAACTGCACTGAGTAACAAGGCAGGAGTAAATCCTCAGCCTCCCACTATCTCTTGGCTCCTGGTACATGGCAATACTTCTGGATGTGTGTGCCCATGGGAGAGGATACCAGCTTTTCTGCTTTGAAGTACATGGTTGCCAGAAGGGAACTGTGAGCAGTCCAGGAGCCATGAGATCTGTGTTCTTTTCTGCCCCATGGAAGCCCGGGGACAGACCACTCTCCCAGGCCACATGTCACACAGCTGCAAGCTGCTTGGTCACATAGCAGAAGGTCTACAATTCCTCCTTGATTGGACTCTTCCTGTGAGACAGATAAACATGCTTTCTGTTTCACCTGTCCTGACACTGAAGTCCTCCCTGCAAATCCCAGAGGCTGTCACTTAGAGGCAGAGGCCAGGGGGTTCCCAAGTACCACAAAGACGACATCAAACAGCACCCAGGCCTTGTGATGCTGAGGCTCACCACAGGTCCTGCAGATCTCAGAGCATGCTGAGCATCCTCCACTCCTTTGGGCAGAGGTAGCCTGTGCTGCAGCAACCTCTGCAGACAAGCAGGCAGGGGTGGGAACACAGACTGTCCCTCCATGTGCCTGGTGCCTGCCAGGCTGCTCCAAACTTTTGACTGCTGTCAGCCAAAGATGGAGATCATGGGTACCTGCTTCAGCCTGAAATGAAACATGTTCAGCACACACCCTTGGCCAAACAAAAGAACAATGATTGCCAGCACCTGTCAGTCACAAACAACAAGTTATTGGAAGTGCAGAAAAAATACCAGCTTCCAGGATAAAGCACTCTCCTACCCTCTGCAAACCCATCTGCTGCAGGTGGCTCCTCCAGGAAAGCCACCAGGTGCTGTCAAGTCCTGCTGCGTGGGTGTGCAGGGGGCAATGGACATACTGACACACTAAAAACATGTTATGGTGTTTCCCATGGTGTTGGGCACAGACACAACGCAGAGAAAGCTCCTGTGAAGAGTCATGCACTGACGCTGGAAGGGTGAAATGTAAATGCTGTTTTCTTGTGACCAGACAATCCCGTGAGCCACAGACGGGGACAAGAGACTCGCGGACACCGAAATGCAGATGAGCAGATGTGCTGAGCTGGCTGCAGAGGCCATGGGCAGGTTACCTGGGGAAATCAGGGCTAACAGAAGAGATCTGCCCCTGCAGGGTGTCCATGATGTTGCTCTGCGAATAGAGCTGCAGGGGAGAATTGAACTGCACGTGCAGCACTTTGAGTCCCGGCACCTCCACTTCCACAGGGCTGTTGGGGCAGACCTGGGCCGCGTGCTTCAGCTGCTCAGGCCCCACTCGGACCTGGCTGGGGCTGGAGGAGGCGCTGTGCCTGCGCCGCAGCTCGGAGCTCTGCAGAGGGTCGTACACGGAGGCCATGGGAGCCTGCATCGCACCCACCGGCGATGGGCGGCTGCCAGCCCACGCGTCCACACGGGCAGTGGGAGGTGGGGTTGTTCGAGGTTTGTTTGGGGTTTGCATTGCCAAATTGAGGGGAAAATGCAGAGGAGGAAGAAAGGAAAGAAGAAAGAATTTAATGAAGGGCAAAGCCAAATACTTCAAGACATCAAGCAGCTGCAGAATACCGTCTTAAGGACACACCACTGAATACACAATTTACAGGCTTCTGGCTAATGCTGTGCCTCTGGTCTCACACTCCAGGTGTGTCCACACAAAAACTAAAAAGCAAGCACTCCACTGATAAGCAAATGCATGGGTTGTAAAAGCAATGAAGAAGTGGCAGCAGGGGTTTCATTATATAGTAAGTCCCTGCGCACACACTTGTGGTTCCACTGTCCAGACAAGGAATGCCACCTTCACTGCTGCTCTCCTCAAAGCTAGCCTTGGCATCCTATTGAGGAGTAATCTCACCTCACATCCCAAACCAGATGTGCTCAGCAGTGGGGCTTCTCCATCCCCACCTGCTTTGTGGCATCAAATCCAGTGGAGATATTTTCTTTTATTTCTATGTGTACTACAGCCCTGCATTTAAACCACACACCCTCTAAGGATGAAGCATGGACTAGGTTCCAGTCATGTCACCATGTGCAGTGGCAGGATCAAGTGCTGGGCTCTATAGGCTGTGATAGGCTCACTAAATCTGCAAGGTGCAGGATGGGGATGCAGATAAATGTCAGGTAAACCCAGAGCAAGGTCAGGTATGTATCAAATAACTCAGCGAAACAGATGGTCAGGAATTTAAAGGCAGCTGGAATGGTGTGTGAAGGGAGAGCCTAGACATCCTGTGCCTGTGCACTGGGGAGACTACAGCGGGTTTTTAACAGCAGGCTGAGGTCCCTGGATCTCACTGAAAACCAGCAGTAATTCATTTGCTTTTGATGACTCTGTAAACACAAGCATGTTAGTATCAAAGCCTCACCCACAGTTTTTCCAGCATTCCTTTGCAACTTGCTGTGTTTCAGCAAGGAAAGGATGAAAGAAATGTCATATATCAAAGATGGAGCAGGGCTAGTAATGGATGCTCCTGCTAGGAGAGCAGAGTGAGCCACAGCCCTAGAAGGAACCCACCTCTTTGCTGATCCCTGCAAGAGAAAGGGATCAGCTACAATGTTCCAGCCAAATCTACCTGGCTTCCAGGGAGCACTCTCACACGGAGGGGACACCAGGGTAGACTAGGGATGGTATCTCACTGCCAGATGGTCCCGTCAGGTTAACGCAATCTCAGATTTGCCTTGTCCTTGCTCTGTTTTGCCCAGCCCCTGAATGAGGCTGCTGAGTCTACCAGAAGCAAATGAAGAACAATCTGTCACCTTGTCTGCCAGCTGCAGCACTGGAACTGCCTAGAAGGGACCATGCTGCAGACTGGGCTGCCAATGCAAGGAGCTGGTTTCACTCACAGGAATGTTGTCAGGCTTGTGTTAAACCACAATCAGGTCTTTGTACCCTGCAACAGCAGAGGCTGAAGTTACTTTTGCCTCCCCACTCTCCAGTCAGAAATTTAATCAAGTATTACCAAAAGCACTGATCTTCCAGCTTTTATTATTAAAATCTTCTAGGCACTTTGATATTGCTATGCAGAGACTTAGGGCAGTTAAGAAACCTGACCATCACAGCCAGAAAACTTTCAGGTAGCTCCAGGTTTATTACCTCCAATGAAAAAAAGGGGAACTTTGAACATTTAGGATAGAATAATGTCCTTGGTGAGGCTCAGTTGCAACACAAAAATTAACAGGCCCTTTTAAGGCTGGGACCCTTTCCAATCTCATACATAAAACACAGGAATGAATAGTAGTTTCAGCTACTTTTTAAAACTCCTGTGAAAAGCCAAGTTTGATAAAAAAACACAGAAATATCTAAACTAAGGCAGAGCCTGTCTATGAATCCCAGGCCAGCTGGGAACAGGGATGGGTGTGCTTCCTGCACTAGCTGGTGCCTTTCCTGCCCAACATCACAGCACAAAACACTGATTTTAGGAAGCGCTTGTAACAAGCTGTCAGGCACCTGTTCAGACCAGCGGGCTGGTATGTCATGCTGAACGCACGCGGAAACTGCGTCGGTCTCTGCTAAACAAAGAAACACAACAGCATTAATTTCATGTCTGCACCTCATGAAACGTTCCCCACTCCTCCAAGCCCTGTCCCTGGGAAAAACATCCACGCTTGTGCCTCTTCTACTTCCATTGTCCTGAAAGAGAACTTTTCTTGCTTTGACAGACTGGTACCTTTGCAGTGAACTCGTGTCTCCTGAAGCCTTTCCCTGGAGGCCCAGGGAGGGAGTGGGGTGAGGGAGGTACTTACGGCTTGCTAGGCTCCAGGGCCCCAGGTGATGTTTTTGTCTCCACCGCATTGTTGAAGGTCTGGATGTTCTCTGAGGAGTAGAGGCCTGCTGGGCTGTTGTACTGAGCAGTGATCACCCTGGGGGCAGAAGCTGTGGCAGCAGTGAAGGGCACTGCACTCCGATTGTGTGCACTTCCTATGTGCCTTATTTCCTGCATGCAAAGGAGCAGAGGCAACAATCAGAGGTGCTCAGGCATGCAGGTGGATGTGACAGGGCAGCCCCACAGCCATTGCAGTGGTGGCCTTCATGTATGGTCTCAGCTGAGGAGCAGGTGACCACAACCACCAAAGCAAGTGATCATCCTCCAGATGGCATGAGGCTTCAGGATGACCATCAGGACATTTCAGTGTTGACATATTGGCAACTTAAGAGCTCAGAAACACTGCCAGAGCTATTAGCTCAAGGTGCCACACACCTGGTAGCCTACAGTAAGCTATAGGACCAACTTTCTCATGCAAGACTAGATTTTAAGCATTCCTTGCAATTCCTGAGAGCAGGGTTGGTTTCTATGGAAAAGCAAAGATATTGGCTGAGATACTGGCCTGATAGTGGCTGAGATATTCAGGACTAAGAAATGTCACCAAAAGACAATTTTTTAAATGTTTCAGCCAGCCATAGAGATTGGGCATAGCTTCAATACAGGGCTAACAGCCAATGGCACAGGATGAAAGGGGCACTTCAGCCTACTGGGCCCATGGGTCCCAGCTCTAACACAACTGGTTCCCACTCCCACTCTAAACAGGCACTGACTTCTACAGCAATGACGTGAGCTTTTACTGCCCTATGAACATCTCACAGCACTTGTTTGATAGAGATATAGTTACAAGACAAACACTCATTAGACAAAAAAGAATGACTTAAATCCCCCTACAGATTTTTCTTTAAATCACTTTTTTGTCTCCAGACTTCCTTAGGCAGCTGGCTAGCCTTCCCAGACTGACAGATGGGAGTCATCTCACTTCATGGCATTCGAATGCTATTTATGGCATCAAGCAGAGCATAGAATCCCTCAGAGAAGAGCGGCTTGGATCCAAATGCCCTCATGACTTACAAGTCATTTGAAATCAGCGGGGTAGCTCAAGATGTTCAGGTGTGGAGTGACGAGGCTGCTCTCCCACAACTTTCTGGCCAACATGTATGGATGTTAGCCATTAAACTTTCCCACACACCAAACGGAAAACAACCCTGGAGTAATTAGCTAATCTCCCTTTGTTGTAATCTCATTCAAACCACATAACAGCACTTGTGAAAATAGTCCTTCCCATGGCAAAAATGTAGATTTTAGCAAAAAAAAAATTACTTTAGCCCATATATCAAACCATGGGGAACAGTTATATCAACATTAAATACACATGGTAGCCCACCATTCAGAGGCCATGAGTGGGAGAGTGTTACAGATGTGCACATAAATAGTCAGTTTCATGAAAGACTGAGACAGAAGGTTTAGGCTAAGGGGGTTATATTCCTAGGTCAAATAGACTCCACATTGAAATCATGTCACAAGATGTGTTGAGGAAACATTTAAGCATGCATCAAGAATTAAGGAAAGGGAAGTAATTTGCAAGTTTGGTTGGGTTTTTCTTTTAACCCCGGTTTCCTAAGAAAGTAAGGTGCCTCAATTACATACCCAACATGCACATGGGCATGTTGAATCTCTGAATGTGTCAGACAAGCTGAATTGAGTTTGACAGTGATGGAGGCCTCAAGGATCTTTATCTTCAAGTGTTGAGGCAGGAAGAAAAGGGCAGCTACATGGCGAAAAGAGACTGACATCACATTAGTGCCTTGACTCCAAGAACTGCAACACACACTCTGGCACAGAATCCACATAGGAGCTTTTATCCTACTTTTGAACACCAGGCAGGTTTTCTGCTGTGTAGTAACACCAAGACCATAAGTTAAGCTTTCAAAAGTGTTGGGACATCTCAGGTGTATAGAGGTCACTGACTATAAGGGAGTTTAATAGTTAAACAGAGAAATTGGTGCAGAACCTAGTGTCTGAAGATTGGAAAAATCCCTTGTGGAGAACAGTGCAGAAGGTGAATAACTCAAGAGTATACAGACAAGTATTACAAGAGCAGTAGCATTATAAAGGGCACTTGGATAATCCGAATTCTCCAGCACTTCCTGTTAACCATGCTGTTCTTTCTGCTCAAGCTGTGGAAGGAATTTGCAAAGAACAAGTGCCTTCATGATCCCAAGATCAAAAGATAATATGTTCTCACTGTCAAATGTATTTATCTAGGGATTTTCCAGAACTGCCAACCTAGGGCCTGTACTGTGCAGCAGTTTTGTTAAAGCCCCAGCTCCTGGAATCATGTTTATGTGACAGTCTCTCACTTACTACTGGAAAAAAAAAAATCAGGTAAGTGACACTCCCAAAAATCTGTCCACCAGCAGCAAGCAGAAAACGTTAGCGAAAAATCCAGCTACACCGTACATATGTGTGGGGACAGCACCTAGTTTGTTCATTTGAGCTGCCTAGGGTTTGCAGCATCTCAAAGGCTGTGGCAATCCCAGGACCAACACAAGGAAAAGGGGGCAATTAGCATTAAACAGCATCCCTGGCTGGAGCACAGACTGCAAGAGCAGTAAGCAGTCGTCTGTTTGCAGAGGAAGAACTGGCAGTCAGCTAAAAGGACATGATCTTATCCAGTCAGGACATGACCTGCTCTTTCTTTGAGAGTAGTAGAGAGGAGCATGATTAATGTTAGATCCCTTCAGAGACACCTTCTGTTGGCACCTGCAGGCACAAATGGAAGCACTTGCCTCACTCTCCCTGCAGGCTGTGGCACTACCTCAGTTTCCTTACACCAGCCTTGTCAGCAGTGAGCAGGGATACCAGCTGTGGTTATTTTGGTCTGGAGCTGGGGTATGGAAGCTCCCAAGCAACCAGGTAGGATATTCAAGAACATTATTTTACCACCATAAATTGATAACATGATAGTTAAATTGCTTTGTCTGCACAGACATCAGCGTTGCTCCCCTCCTTCCTTTGCAGGGTTATGTTTCCAGAGGGCCCAGCAGAGTGACTAGACCAAGCTAAACTAGATTAGCAACTGCATAGACTTCTCTACCAGCTGCTTCTGAACTCTCACTTCACTTTGAAATTGAAGCAATTCCTTCAACAGCGCCCTCCTTATCTAAAGCTACCCTCCTCCCCCCCATAAGAACAAGCTCAAAATGGCTTTAGAGCACAACCCCATGTGATCCCACTGCAAATGTCCCCATCTCACAGAAAAAAGAGCTATTTTTCAATCCCAAGGACAAACAATTGTAGCTTCAGGTCAGACATGCACATCTTCTGCCAGAAGAGTTTTCTGGGTGCTGGCTGTTAGTGGCAGTAGCCGTCCCTGGGGCAGATGGCACACAGCCATGCACTGCAACACAGCTATTCCAGCTGGGTGCTAAGAGAGTCCCAACACCACCACAGCCCGCCAGCAGAGAGCTGCCAGCAAAGGTGCCAGCCTGTGAGGATGGGCAAAACATCCCTGTGCCAGGGCAGGAAGCAGATCAGCATTTCCTACTGCACCAGCTGCAGGCTGTGTCATGGGGAATTATCAGGGAAAACAATGGCCCCTTCCTCCCTCTCATATGAGGCCATCCTCAGTGAGCTGACGTCCAGGCTGTGAAATCCCCACAGCCACATCAGCTGTCACTGCTGTGCCTGAGGCCAGCCAGCGGCTTGTGGCATGGGCGTCTGCTTCCTCCTCACCAACACTTCCACCACTGCACCCATTGCCACCATTGGGAATGGGGGCATGCAGCTTCAGGGAAATTGCCAGCTGTCAGTGAAGCAGACAGACAGACAGCTCAGGATGAGCTACCTCTATAGCCGAGCTGGGACTCATCCTACGCACCAGTGGCATAAAGCCATCTGGACACCTTCATGGCCTCATGCCCTCGGGCAGGTTGGGAGCAGACTGGGGTGAGGGTGGGCGCTCGGGACCCTTCCACCCTGCAGTGACGTGGCCAAGGCCATCCTGTGCGAGGTCTGCATGGACGTCACCACCACCAGAAACAGGAAAAATCTGGAGCCTTTTTGTACTCACGGAATAAACTAAACCAAGATGTGTGGGGTCAAACAGCCTCTCCGTTAAGTGGGATTTTCCTCTCCCCACAGCATGGCCTGAAGGCATTCAGCTAGGCTAGGCCCTCAGGTGCTGGCTCATGCCCTGCTGCCACCCACCTACAGCACCCTCACTCCCTGCCTGCCCCTGCCCCTTCCCAGGCCACCTCTCTGCAGTCTCTGGAGGAAAGACAGGTCAAACATGGAGCAAGGGGTTGCTTGAAGCCAAAAACTAGTATAAGGTGTGCAGTAGTGATTTACAGACTGGTCAGCTCATGGAGTCAGGGGATTCACTCTCACATCACAAACCAAAAAAAAAAAAAAATTGGAGAAAAAAAATCAGCACCCAGACACTGCAGTTGCAGGGAAAAGCAAAAGCCCCCACAGGTGCCTGGAGCAGCTGAGTGAACCAGCAAAACTTGCTGCCTCACAGGGCCTCAGAAACGTGGGATGTTTTTGCATCCCAAGTCAGAGCCCAGAAGCTCAGGGCAGGCAATGCTGGATTGCACACCTCGAGGGCCACGCCAAAAGGAAACAAGATGAAACATTTCTCAGTACAAATGTTTACTCAGCTCTAAGAAAACGGGCCCCTGACCAAACCTCAGAGAGTGAGAGCACTCTGTCCTGTGGCAGCGAAGGAGAGCAGAGAGCAGCAGGCAAACCCCCAGCTTCATCCTTCCCTTGCAAAGCCACCAGGAGCAAAGGCCATACTCGTGACCAGCTGGCGTGTCTGGGGGGAGGCTGCTTGTGCCAAGCACACAGCGACAGCTCAGGAGAGGACATCTTCATGGCAAACTCCACTCCATGCTATGTTTCATCAGCTGTGATCAGAAGTTTTAAGAAATGCCTTTATTTTCACCTCTCCCTCTATTATTATTTGGGGTTTTTCAGCTATGGAAGGATCTTTTGCAATGCTTTGAAATCTGATTAAAAATGAGGAGGGGTTTGGGGTTTTGTTATTGTAGGGGGGTAAAACAATAAGACCAGCTTCCCACATCCTCTCCTTCCACGTCCCTGACACATTCCACACCCATGCAGTAATGCCTTTTAACCAGAACCAGCAGGTTGCAATATGCCAGCACAGTTCCCAGTCTCCGTATTGTTACTTTATATACCTATTGCTTCATGCATTGCCCACACATGCAGAGCCTTATCAAAGGCCAAGCCAGCCACACACCCAGTTTCTATAGCCCCCGCCTGCTTTGTATCCAAGGAAATAAAATACACAAGATGGAAACAATGACATCACTCTGTAAGAATAAGGATGAACACAGGACAGACACTTTTAAGAAGCTTTGGGAAGACAGAAGTGGCTGTCTGTTTCTATCATCCTAAAAATACCCTGATTCACCCTCAGAGCTCCTCCAGCTGCTAACCTCGTCTAAAGGTTATTTCTATTAAAAAAAAATCCTTATGTTTGAAAACCCTTACTTTCTGTGATTAAGAAGAGCTGAACTATCCATCTCAAACCAAGAGTTTTCACTGGCATTCTCAAGGTCCGATGTTAATACTTGTGCCTTATTGCAAAGGGAATACATAGCCTTCAGGGAGCCAGACAAGTTTTTGGAGACTGTCTGGGTATTGACTGCCCTTGAAGGTGGACTCTCAGATCTTCCTCTATATTAGCTCACTCAGCAAAAACAGAGACCTGGATCCCACTGGCATCTGTATCTTACAAAAAAAAACCCCAAAACAAAACAAAATACCCAAACAAACAAAAAACCAAAACAGACCCCAGGTCTGACAAGACTTGGCACAGTTAGAGGATATAGAGTTTTGTTGTTTATTTTACCAAGAGGCAATTCAGCCCCTTGGGTACAATTGGGCCCCATGGGCCCTGTGTGGCCCAAGATCACCAAAGGGCACGGCTGACTTGAAGTTATGCTGATCTCTGGTCAGTATCATAAGCATTAAAATTGCCTTAGCCATCAAGTAACTTGTTCTCTCTTGCTGTGACCACTTTTCTCAAGAGACATTAAGCAGAAGGGAGAGGCAGACATGTTATTTTAGTCTTTCCCACTGTTGTGAGGAAAAGATCTTGATGGGAAAATGCCACTGAGCTATCAGCCTTAGGATCTGGGTTAGAAGTGCAAGTGAACTAACTGAGTAAATATGCTAAGAAGACTGTCATTTCCTTCCTCTAGTGTTGCCATAGGCACCAAAACAAAGCTAGGTCAGCTGCTGAGCCATCAACACCGACAAGCTGCTGCCCCTTTTGATGAAATGCAATTTTGTCATCACTCTTGCCTCTGTTTAAATTAATTTAGAAGGATAAGGATAATGGCAATGAAATAATAATAAGACTGTAGCTCTTTCATGGGCAAAGATCAGCTTAGACAATGAAGTCAGTCTTTGGACTCAGGACTTTGGGGAATGCATGGGAGGTTGTAGAATGGCTTTTTATTTTACAAAGGCAAATAAAAGTATCTTGAACGTACATTCCAAGTAAGGGAAAACACTTCCACCAGCACGATGCGGCATGTCACCAAATATCAGCCTCCAAAAGGATTACACCAGTAAACAAAAACAGTCCGTTTCAAATGGGGTAAAAAATTTGTAAACAGGGATCTTAAAATATGTAGCTAGTCATAGACAAACTCTTAAGCACTGGTTCCTGAGACAAACTGATAATTAAGTTCTTTTGCAAGATTTTTTTCAAAGATTGAGCAGCTACATCAGTAAAATACGAAGACAAAAAGAAGGTGGACAAGCATGAAAAACTTCTAAGATACCAAAGGTAGGAGAGGCAACATCTAACAAACTAATTCTAAGAAAGATGGTAATATATCTGAATAAGTCAATTTCTACAGCAAGGGTTTTAAAGATTTTTTTTTTTTTGAGCCTGAAGTAAGGCTATTCACATGTGTGATTTTACATCTGCATTCAAAGGGCCATGTGCAAAGCCAATGAAGAACCATTGTCAGAGGACCCTGGATTTAAACAAACCATTCAGACTCAGCATGTCTTATTTTCTTTGGTAAGTGAATTAATAAGTGTTCTGCACTAGACTGCTGCCAAGAAAAGCAAAGATACTGTTTTGACTGGCCAGTAAGTTAAAAAACCTGAACAGCTCAGTTTTGCCTTCGAAGATTCAGCTCTACTCACAGCTTCAACCAGTCGTACTGGAAAAATGGTATCAGCATCTTTGTGGTAAAATTCATAGCAGTTTGCCATGTTGGTATACACACACATAGCATTTTCTGCACTCTGCTACTACTGATTTGCAGCAGGCCTGGCCAAAACCCCTGATGATGCTGCAACGACACAGCCCCAGAGTGACTTGGCCAACACTTGCCACGTGCTCTGGCAGGAATCAGCATGCTCTTCTGATTTCATGCTTCAAGCAGAAACACCTCACTACAAAACCTACTTGCTGTAGTCAGCTATTGGAAAAACAAGTGGGAAAAAAACCCCAAACAATCCACCAAACAACAAGCCCCCACAACCAGACAACTTGATGGTATTCCTGACACTTTGGCATAGTAGATGAGGTACTGTTATGCCTTAAGAGTAAACAGGAGCTTGTGGTCTGGAGACATGATGCATCTCCCCTCACACTGCTGAGCTCCTGTCTGAGTATGCAGCAAGTGAAGCCCTTTAAGGTTAAGCCCAGTGCTCTGAACAGCAGCAAGCCCCACTCACATACACAACTGCAAATTATTTAATCTGCTTTAATTTAAAGGAAGGGAATAAGAAAAGACAAGACTTCTGTGAGTTTAAATGTTCCTTTCACAACAGGAAATAACTCTTCTAGCATCAGCCATCAAAGAGGTCAAAGCCTAATTTTTAGGCAACCATTGATTCTTAGTACAAGACTAAGACAATAGTCACTGCTCAGAGATAAGCTCTGTAACATGAATTTCTCCACACTCAGTTGTGCATCAAATTCTCCTGCTCAAGTCAGTTACAGGTTGCTACCAATAAATTCAGTTGTACTATACTTACAAACTAGCAGTATCAGGATATCTATCCAGTGGCCAGAGCTAGAACCAGGACTAAGACTTAGGTTAGGGTTTAGGAGGTAATGTCTTCCACCACCAGCATTACTGCTAAATCCTGACCATCTATCCAGGCTGGACTGGGCGAAAAATGTGATGGGGCAGTGAGTGACAGGGGAGTTCAGCAGCAGGTTTTTTGCTGCAGTTAACTGAAATTAGTGAGCTACTTTAAAATCCCACTTAGGGCATGTGTTCTGCTCTACGTTTGATTTTATGGCATTTAGCTGAATTCTTGCTAATGGCTGCGCTGGGAAATTGGTCTCTAGGATTGAGTCTCCTGCTGAATTAAACAACAGCTCTCTGCATCACTGCAGCAAAGCCTCAGTGCAGACTCTGCCCCACTCTTTTGGCAAGGGATAGCCCCCAAGTCTCAAGGCTGAAGTGGAGCCTTTCCAAAACCTGGGCACCAGACGGCACAGACCAGACCTCAGCTCAACAGTGTCACATACAGGTGTCACCACATGGCTCCAGCTCAAACTAAGCCCAAATGGCTCAGTCTCACACTGTGCCTTGGCAGAGTTATGAAATACCTGGAGAATGCTGCACCAATTTCTTGGGCCAAGCAACACAGAGAAGCCTGATGTGAAAGAGAACATGGACAGATCCCAGTCCAAGTCTGGGCAGGGTGTTGCTGCACATGTGCTGCTTTAGTTTCAGGTCCTTTCCAACCAAAACAGCCATGTTAGTGCTTAATTAATTGCAGAGTCAAACTAGTTTTATAATCTACTTATTTTGCTAGAAAGACTCATATGGGATGTCTGCTTGGGCCAGAATCCACTGGGGCCAGGTGAAAATCCAGAGGAATGCCAATGACTTTAGTGTAGTTATTTTAGATTTTTTGCAGTGTAATCCTCTAAATCTAGCCCAGGTGATGCCCTTGCACAGGTCACTGTTATTACTACATTCACTTGACAGAGGCAGCCAGCCAATAAAGCAAGGCTGTCAACAGGTTACAAAACCAACTTCCTAGACAGAGGCTGCATGATCTGCCACACAGATAAACACGTAAGATGCTGGTGCATTTCTCTTCCACTTTCTCCACAGCTAGACTGCTAAGAGTTTACTGAGTAAGACAAAAAAATCCAAACCAAACCAAGCAAAACCACTGAGTGAGTAATATTCCTCACCCCCCTCAAGTCTTTTCTATCGATGACAACCAACTGGCTTAGCACAGTAGCAATGATTTACTGAGCCACACCTCTACAGTGCCTTCTGTGCCCTGTGGTAGGTGTGAGCATGCAGATGGCAGGGACACCTCTGACCCAAGCAGGTTACCTTAGGTATGGCACCCAATTAGCTTTCCACAGCAGCAAGCTTCTCACCATGAGGGAGGGAGTCCAACTCTCAAGGCCTCCAAGGGCGACATGATCTCTTGACAGTATGGGGCATGATGCTACCCCCAACACGATTAACAGAGTGGCATATGCTCAGCTCCTTGGAGGATCAGGCCCAGAACTTCTCTCACAGGAGTAAGAGGGAACAAGAGTAGTTATTGCAGGACTTACCTGTGGCTCAGAGGCCAGATTCATCTTATAAGGGTGTGTCTTTCCCTCCTCGCTTACAAGTGGTGACCAGACTTTTGCCTCTGTTCTGCAACACAGAAATTTTGAATAATTAATCTGTTTTCATCAGTAAGCACCATAATTGTTATTGAAAGACTCAAAGTTCATCAATTTCTTAAACATTTCCACAGTCTCTCATATATATAGCACAATCCACATCAGGAGGAATCTAGACAGCCTCATTTTAGGTACACAGTGTAGGTGGCTTAGATAAGTGAGGTCCTTGGAGCAAGACAAGATCTCAGTAGTGACTCTTCTGGCTTATTCTTTGTGACTCTACAGGCAGCACATCAGGCATGGGCTCCCACCCAGGCTGTCAAGCTGGGGGTTACCCAGAAGCCAAAGCTGGAGATATCCTACAGATGCCTTAATTAAGTGGGACCATTCAGATTGCTATGTGCTTCAGCTTTTATGGGTAGCCAGGAAGAGGAATGATTCTTGTCTGTATTAACTATACAAAGAACATTTTGTCCTTGAGGTTGGGCTGCCTTGGAGATAAGCTAGAAATATCTTTTCATTTGGGTCTCTTGAATTTTCTTATTATTTATAGCAGCATCCATGTTGAACAAACAGAAGTCTTTTGGAATGATGAGTTAAAAAAAAAAAATCCCCGCCTGCAACGGGACTAAGAACTGAGACGACCTCATGTGACAGAGAAAGTCTACATAACCTTTACTGGTCTGTGGTCTGACCCAATTACTCACAATAGTCTGAAACACAAGTCAAGATCTACAACTAAAACCAACTGCTTTGACCATCATCATTGTGGAATTTTGCTGTGTCCCAAAGAATGACAAACAAGTGGTGAGGGAGAAGTGGAGTGCTTGGATTTGCTTGAAATATGTTGTGGGAAACATTTCTCAGCAGTAAAGACAGTAGTTAGCATCTCAGATAGATTAAACAGTGCCACTTTTCCCAAACTTTTGAATAGTAGGGAATGAGTGACTGCAGTATTGTTGAACAACAACTGCTGTTCAATGCTAAGCATTGCATCATGTAGCAACAAGATGGCTGATAAACTCTCAGGATGAGGTCTGAAAACCATGTTCTGTCCTGTTGACAGGAGCCCTTTCTGGAATCTGGAACTGGAAATAGATGTACTTCCTAGGTATTTGTGGGTCAAGGATTAGCTGTAATTTAAGTACTTAGCAAAACAGAAATGCTTCCATTGAGAACTAACTGGATAAGTGGAAAGAGATTTTCCAGTTAAAGAAGGAGGAAGAGACTAGAAAAAGAAAAGGCTGACAAGGATAGAGAAACAGGGTATACAGCTACTCACAATATATTCAGTCTGGTGTGCACCATTCCTCTAAATGCCTTCCAAAGTCACAACATTTTTTAAATAGCCCAAACTTAGCTGAGATGCACATATACATCCCAAACATTTGCTGCATAAATAGTATTTTAATATTTGCACCTAGTGGGCAGCTGAGTGGGAGGAGATGGGAGGCAGCATTCTCAGTCAGGAAATAAGTGTTTTATTGAACTGCTATTCCCTTTATTGCACTGTGGACTTTATACAGAAGAAACCTGAATGAAGTCTGCTGTGCTGCACCTCCTCTCACAGGAAAAGTACAAACACACAGGTCACACCTGATATCCTTTATGGGTATTCAGGTACAGCAAACCTTTGACTCTTGGTTATTGCATCCTGCAAGCCCAGCTGATACCTGACAACCCATGCCACTCAAATGCTGCTGGGGCACACACAGACAAGTATGACTAACAGCTGCATGGTATCAGATCCACACCAATCTGATCATCATCTTGTCACAACAATGGATGTCCAACATGCCTCAGGTGAATACAAACCAATCATTCTCCCCTTGCTTCTGGACACCCGTACTTTAAGGTGCCTGAGGAACCAGCAATTTCACCCAGATTATGCCTATCAAGCCTCACAAAGTTACACCCACTTCCAGGACAGCTGTATTTTCCACACCTGAAGACTGTTTGCACATAGTGAAGCAGCCTGGTGACCAATACAAAGCTTCATTCCTTGGAAGTGTTTGGAGATCATGTATGACCAAGTTTCACCTTCTCTGGAAAAACAGGGGACACAGCAAAATGTACAGAAATGAGACACCCAGCCAGCCAGGCTATAAGCAAAGGGACATTGGCTGGAGATGAAAGAGCAGCTCAGAGAGCATTAAACACTTCTGCTGATTTCTAGCATGAGGCATCCCTGTGCCAGTTCTTGCAGCAGTGATCCAAGAACTTTTTGAGGTAGCATTTTCTTTAACAGCAGTTTATTATAAGCTTTCAGAAGCATGAGAAGGCTTTATTCACACTGAAAAATTTAAGCCTAGAGCAGGCCAGTGTATGAATATGGAACAGAAACTTCCCCCCAGGCACTTGTTTTCATCCCACTGGCCCTCAATGTGTTTGAGGTGCTGATCACACAGCACATTGGTCTCCAGAGGCAATTATGGCCAACTACTCCGATACTGGATATAAATGGAAGCAGCAAGGTCACTCCAAGCTTTACTTTCAATCCAGTCTAGAATTATCCAAACAGAAATGTTAAATAGGCCATGCATCTGTCCCTCTGAGGCAGGGAAGATAAAGCTTCCCTTTGTATTCACAACAGCTGCAGAAGAGCCCCTCAGACACTCTTAGCAGCCCATTTATGCCCCAGTGAAGCGGCAAAAAGGACACAGCTTTGCTCTCCCTGGCTTTACCCAGCAGATCTTTCAAGGCGTGTGGTCCATCCCACCTGTGGAGCCCACAGTCTGTGGGTCTTAGGTAGAACCACGATGGTCCCAGCTCTTGGGAAGGGTTTCCTGGCTCTGCTTCTTGTGTCAATGCCTGTCATTCTACTGAAGTGTGCCAGGAGGAAGAAAAATACCACCTACAAGTTCACCTTATGTCCCACTACTGGCCTAGGGCTTACTTTCTGCAGTGTTGGGAAGTGTGGGCACTAGGGACAGACAGCAGGGCAGATTAGACTCAGATTAGATGTGTTTGTATCTTATCCATATGTTTCCACATCCTAGCTATATGAAGGAGGTAACAGGTGTCAGAGTAGACAGCTAAACCCAGCCTTGGTAACAGTCCCCTCAGTTCACACCAGGCTGCTGCTAGTAATGGCTTTCTGGAGGATTTGTTCCCCAAATTTGTGGGAGAAGGCCCACAGCCAAAAAAACCACCTCCATGCTCCCCGCAGCAAGGCTGTACTCCTGCCACTGAGCAGGGCCATGCTAGCAGGGCTGCCAGACCTGCCTCTCCACTGGGGTAGGGGCTGGATGTCCAACAGTCTGCTGGGGAATCCCACCCTGCCTGGTGAAAGCCAGGGGCTTTGGCATCCTTATCAGATCTCAGAAACTCCTGATAAACTGATGAATATTTATTTTTTAATATGGTTTCTAATGCATACTCTTTCAAATGAGACTCCATCAGAGAGCAACACTCAAACAGGGAAGGAGACAAAAACATGACACAAACAAGCCTGAGAATGTGGGTCAGGGAAATTAACTGCAGGCACATTTATATACAAACTGTCATTTTTGCAGTTCACATTTCCATGATGTTTCCTTACTACAGGATAGAGAGTAACTTAGGGCCAGGGAATGAGCGATGCATCTCCTGCTTCATCCAGGCAGAAAGCAAAAGCCAAGATTAGACTAAAGAAATTTCTCTGATGCTAGATTGGATGCAGAGGTACTGGTAGAAAAAGAAGGAAGGAAACCACACACAAGTCAAGGCAGGAATATGGAGAGGTATTTATGAAACAACACTTTTCAAGCAGCTTGTCTTGAACATGATGTAATATAAACATTACAAGAGCCCGGATTTTGCTGTCAGTGCTTTGCGTGCAAAGTTGGGCCATAGCTTCAAGGGAAAACTCAGAGCTGGAAAATGAGGGTCTAATTCTTTGTGCCAGGAACTGTGTAATTTCCATAAAGAAGAAAGTCACGTCTACATTCATTCACATCTCATTTCAAACACTGGGATGGATACAATTAAGATACCAAGTAGCAAATAAACCCCAAAAGACTGAAAAGTTTCTTGGGCAGCACAAAGTTCTTACCTGAAAAATGAGGAAAGACCTAAAGAATTTATCTTTCACAATCCTCTCACCAGAGTTTTTGACAACCATTTTAATAAAGTTTAGAAACTAACTACAAGAGCTGTCAGTCTACCAGGAAGGTACCTTTTAATCAGCCTTTTAGCTGCAACAGGTGTCAAATACAGGCCTTTGGCTTTAAACGTGAGTAGTCACTTTTAACAAACATGCATTAATGGACATATTCAGCTTGGCAAGCAAAACAGTACTCAGGCTGCATACAGCCTCCTGCCAATTCAAACAGCAATGACAGGCACAACTGCCTAGAGACAGGAGACCCCAAATGCATGTCTCCGTGTATGGTCCTCTTGCATTTCAGGTGTCTCTCTATACAACCACTAAAACCAAAAAGGCAACTCCAGTTAAACTTCTGTAGCTTCTTCTGTGTATCTGGAGCAGGTTCATGACAGCTACAAAGGCTGACACACCTGACTGCACTCTTCTAACTAGTCAGCTGCAGAATTAACTCTTACTGCCTCACCAAAGAGGCTGTAAAATCACAACAAATACCAATTTTGATATGCCAAAATTACTTTGAATGTGTCTGTTGTTAGTAAAAGCTGCTGGCATGCACCCACAAGGGCTGGAAGCACCACACTGGCCATGGAGAGGTTGGGAGTGGCCACAGAGGGCCAGGGAACCTGCATGGCCTTATATAGCTGCACACTGAGCAGCTGGCTTTTCCCAGGGCCAAAGGAATTATTAGTAAGATGACAGAACTGGAAAACTCTTCTTGGCAGGGAAGCAAAAAAGCAAACCTAAATGAGTCAACGGATTCCACCAATTTCCTAGAACAGAAATCCAAGCCTATTGTGGCTTTGTGCAACTATTCCCCGCAGCTCAGACCTGGGAACACATGGAGCAAGCAAGAGTGCAACCAAACCTACCACACAAAATGAAAGGACATGACACATGTGCTCTCTTCTTCTTCATAAGCATCTACACATTATCCTTTCTGACAATCCATTTAACAGGTCCTGGTAGCAGACCTGACTTCCCTGATCCTAGCACTTTTCAAAGAACAAATACATACCTTCATTCCTTGGCAGCACTTTAAACAAATTAAAAGACTATTTTGCAAACAAAAAAGGTGCATTAATATATTATAAGCTGGCAGCAGAGTGGCAGAAAAGCAGCTTGAAATTTGAGGAAAATGACAGTAGGAGGAGAACACGACATTACACATTTGCAACCTTTTTTAAAAAATACCCCTCTACCACCTCCAAACTGCCTCCAGACATAAAGGGAGGACAGACTCACTACAGGAACACTTTTTTGTTGACAGAAACCTTTACATAAATATATACTTTACCTTTGAGTTGCTCAGGGCTGCACAGTTCCACCAACCATCTGGTGACTATAGCCTTTGTTTTAGAAATAATTTTCACCTATGCTGCAATGAACATTTGTCTGCTTTTGTACATCTGCAGCCACAACAGAGCTGTGTGTCAAATTCATCATGAGCACTTCCACTGACATGGGTGATGCCTGGATTGTCTGACTATCCTGTGAGTTTTGTGGTAGGAGTATCTGTATCTTCTCACCTTCTTCGCTTTGAATGTTCTTTGACAGGGGAAGCATCTTACTCAAAATACACTAAATTTACAAAGAAAGTTGATAGTTTCCAATTTGTTGGACACATCTTGCTGCTTACCCCCATTAATGGAGAGCAGTGCTGGGAGAGGCTTAGCTCAAGCCTAATACATCAGTGCAGTGGTGTTCACACCCTAATTCGAAAAAATTAAATCACCAGGAAAAAGAAGCATAGCTCTTCTAAAATATTCAAAACTTCATTTTTCCTATGGAGAGACTCAAAAATCTCCCTGTGAATTTCAGTTCAGCAACCAGGTAGGCTTGAGTTGACTGAAGCACTGTCTTGAGCTTGATTTTACACTGCTGAAGACAATAATGGAACCTTTACTTTGGTTTCTTTGTAACTACATTTCTCTTGAAACAAAAAGCAAAATGAATGAACAAACAGGTGCAGAAAAGAGCGGGAGCTGCTAGACACAGTGAGTTCAGTGGGAATTTGTTATTTACAGCAACATTGTTGGACATCCACTTTTGAGGCAGAAGACAGAACTTTCCCACTCTGTTCACAAGTTGAACAGCAAAGCACCTGGCAGTGCCACTTAGGAAAGAGTATTCAAAGAAAGCAATTTGTGGCTGGGTTTTAAATCCTAGGAAATTACAAGATTTGCCCCTTTGGGTGAAAAAGCAGACCAGGCATGTTTTCTTCAGCTAGAAAGTTGATATGCTTTTAATGGTGACTTGTGTTAGACAAGATTTCCTGCCTACAATCTGATCTGAAATATTTTTGGACTGTTACCATCGCTAAGAAAAATAGCGAAACAGGAAACACTGGAATGCTGTTGATATACACAATCAAGCATACAGTGCAAACAGCATTTCCTTTACCAGAAGTGTTTAAGTCCTTCCAATTCTCTATATTTACACTTCTTTTAAATAATCATTAGTAAGCCAAACATGAAGACATCTTAACTGCTTGGCTACTCTCAAAAGAGAAGAGAACTCCCTATTTGAAGAATACACATGTATGGAGATTGTTTTGGTTCACAGAAGAGCAGACGAAAAAGACAAGCATAATACTTCCATGAAACACTCTCCTAGCTTCCAGCTACTTGTAGCTTAAAGGCTTTCTGCAGCAGAGATACCTCCATTGTATATATTATCCTTTAAAGATTTGTCTTGCACTAATTCACCCACTCAGGTCTTCAAACCACATACACTCATCACGTGTACAGCACAGTCACAAATGAAGTCTCCACCGTCACAACAGTGCTGATCCTTTGGTGAAACTGAAACACCTGGTGTGAGCTCAGACCTGTGTCTGAAATCCACCTGGCACAACCTTGTTGCCACACTGCACGCAGGTCAGAGAATATTTAGCATGGGTAATCATTTAAATGAGTAATCATTCAAAATTCATCAGCTAGCAATTTAAAAATCACTAAGGATTTATGCTTTCACAAGACATCTCTCCAATGGCGAATAGAAAAGGAGGACTGGGAAGACGTCTCACTCCAGAAAACCTAGCACAGCTAGGCACATCCTTATACCAGCTGTGTAATGCTCCAGCTCACAGAGGTACTGCTCTGTCAGAGCAAGGGTCTGTGCCAGCTCAGCTCCTTGGTACAACTGATTCAGCTGATGAGCTACAGAATGGAGCTGCACAGAGTGGAGACCAGACCCAAGGGTTGCTGGTGTTGCAGTGCAAATTATACACATTCCTTTTCATACTCAGCCAACTACTTACAGAGCTACTTGGACAGAGAAAAAACTTTCAGCTCTGACCTGACTTTACTGTGAGCCTTCCTCACCAACTGTATGGTCAAGCCTTAGTGACAGAGCTGTGCCCACCAAAGCTCAGGAAGCCCAAGCCATACCATTTGGCCAGGTGGCACTCATTTTCCACAAGAGCCTTCCAACCTCTCCACCCCCATGGCAATAACCTTCCCTTCTCTACAGAGGAGGGATCACCACCACACCACAGTCTGCTTTCCTCACCCACTTCCCCTACCTTAAGCTGAGCAGGAAGACGAAGTATGGCTCCAAGTCTTTTAAAATGCTTTCTCTGTCACCTCTCTAGGCATCCTCTCAAGGCCTTTCATTTTAAGGCCTTAGACTGCAAAGTAAAGAAGCTCCTGCCTCAGCAATAAAGACTACATAGCACTTCTGACCACTGAGCAAAGCTGCATTTAGACCAACACAATTATGGGGGCATAGAAGAAGACACTGGACATTACAACAGAGTACAGCCAGAAAAGACAACACGATGCACACGGATTTTCCACAGAGCAATGGGTAGTAATATCAAACTCTAAAGTGTAAGAAGCCAGATCACTGCTTTCACATTCTTGCAGTTTTGACACTCTTCCTGGCCTTCTGTCAGCTGAACTCAGTAATCAGTACAGCAGCAGAAGCATCCAACACATACTCATGCCCCTTCATTGAAAGAGGGCCTTGAAGGAGTTGTGTAAACTGACCCCTGCACAATTTTACACAGCTGTATATCCAGCTAGAAATCTCTCCCATGGCAGCTTCCAAGCCCAAGGCCAATGAAATGTGCATAGGGTAGCTATAAACTTAACGACTTTGTAATTAACATTAGCAAACACATTTTACAGACTCAATGATCTGTAAGAGTGAACTTGCCTGCAGGCTGAAAGAGCCCTTGCCTCTCTTCCTCTTTCCCAGCCAGAACCACATGGCACTGGTTTGCCAAGTCAAGCAGCTGGATTTTGGAGAGGAAAAGGAACACTCCTTTGCAGGAAGATTACATGCTGCTAAGTTCAAGGCCAGTATGAGAAACTCTGGGATTAAGAGGCTGCTGCAATGTTCACTACCCATTCACACTGCCTGCACTGTGCTCTGTTCTTCCATCTGTGAATTCCCTTAATGAACCGTCAGGCATTTTTTTTGGCCAAGACCCATCGCTTCTTCCTGAACTGGAACTGAACTGCCTGCTGAACTCCTGGCATTGTCCAAGCCACGGTAAAGACTTCTGCTTATCACAGAAAAGCCCTGAACAACTGAGCCACTGTGTCATTTAAGGCATGCTTTTGCACTCCTTTTGAAAGCACTTCCCCTGCATCTGCCCTGAAACTGATGGATGATCACTCTTAGGGAAGGTAGGCACAGAAAAACTTGCCCCAGAGCAACTAGAAATGCCATACTGCATCTACCACCTGACTGAAAACCACTGGTACCTGCAGCTGCAATTCACACCAAAAGGAGGGATAAATCCCCAGCACCCTCAAAAAAAAAAAAAACAGGCTCCAGTTCTTTTAAGTAGCAACAGCTCAATGCAAACAGAGCCCTGCCTTCCCATCTCCGTTTCCTCTCCGTACAAAGATGGCCTAAGAACAAAACATAGCTGGGGAAAGGAATGAAGCTGTCCATTGCTCCACAGTTCAAGATGGTGGGAAGGATGAAGCCAGCCTGTGCTCTACATTAGTTGCAGAAATTGTGGCTCAGCTGTCACCTGCCTTTAGTTTTTCAGGACTTGAGAGACTGATGCCTAAGAGGAACTTCGTTGAACCCTGGGTCATCACTGTTTAAGGCTGTCAGTGCTGTTTGATCAAGAGGCTTCAAAACGTACATTTCTGAGTCTGTGCTTGGCAGAAACCAGGCAATTAATTGCCTGGAAGAACACATAAGCATATATTTTAACTGCTAAAGGAGTGCAACAGGAAGGAAGGTCATCATCTCTGGTTGCACCTCCTCTGCTATGAGTGAAGTTTTCATGAGACTATCTTTGGTTTCTTGCTGTCAGGAGCCACAGAGTAAGTGAAAAGAGCCTGCCAAAAATTATCAGCCAATTCCTCACTTGGAAAGTTGTTTTCCTAAGGTCAAAGTGCAGCAAATGCAAGCAGCATTAGGATTAAAGGATGAAATGCAGTTCCCTCTTGCTAGCTAGCACCTGCCAGACTAAGCACTAAGAGGTCAAATTAAACCAGCAAGAGGTCTACTGTCAAACCAAAACACAGCTACTGCCCACCCTGCAATCCTCCCTCTCTCCAGCCCCAGTCTTGCTCAGCTACGTACCTGCTGACTGTCAGAGTCAGTTCATCTGTGCAACCCTTGATTTTGTTCTGCGCCTCAAGGTGTGTCATGTTATCTGTGTTCACTCCATCAATGGCTATGATCTGGTCTCCTATACACAAGTTGGCTATCGCAGCTTTGCTGCCTGGAGTCACCTAAGAGAAAACAAAAAGAGTGAATGGACTTTCCAGGGAGGGATTTCCATAGCAACATTTGAAAAGGAGTTGGAGAAGTTGTGTTTTTTCTCACTAGTACCTGGAAGCAAAGAAGGTAAAATTAATGAAAGTAAATTCTAAGAAGAAATCTATCTAGGTCTTTTAGGATTTTGTTTCAGCACCCACAGATAAAAATCTGGAGAGAGAACAACAGGTAAACAACAGAAATAATATTTTCACTCAAGACAATTCTCATGCTAGAGAGCAAGATCATAAAGAAAGCAACTATGTTCTTTCCTGGACAGAGAAGTGCTCTCTGAAACAGAAGGTGCTGGGGACAGACAGAAGCCAAGTCTCTAAGAACAGAGGTGACAGAAAAGAGTGTCAGAGTCATTGCAATACCAATGCCAATCACAAACAGCTTTGCCTGCATTACAATTTCACTTGTTTTCTTCCTTGAAGGAAAGGTTTGGGCTCAAGATTTTGGATTGCTTCTTTAGTTGTAATAATATGGTTTTTCCCAGAAACAGGAGCAGCACACATTTGCTGACTTCAGCAAGATCAATCCCAAAGCAGTGTGAGATTTACACAGACCGGAAGAGGGAAAGGCATCAGAAACTTCATCCTTAAACCACAAGCTGTCAATAGTGTCTGAAAAAGTAGAAGCACCAATCCCCCTGCTGACCACAGCTCACCTTGATACCTGTTGCCACATTGCATCTCCCTTTCCTCTCCATGTGGTCCCAGACAGACAACACTATGCAACAATGCCATCAGTATGACATTCCTCATGAGAAAGGTCCCAGCTAAAACTTGGCATTTTCAATCAACTAAATGGCTTCTTCATTTTACCCTACTTCTTTTAAAGAGGTGTCCTCTTAACAACTGATACCTCTTTGGGACAAAATGATTGCCCAGGCAGAAGGCGAATAACATCATGTTTGTGGCTTTGCAGACACTACATAATATTTTGTGCAGTTTTAATGAGTTTATGAAAGGAGTGTAATGATTTCTATGGGCTTTTGTCCATTATTTAATAGGCAGAGGAAATGAGAAGGGTGGACTGCTCCCAGACATGAGTACAGATTAAAACATGCCTTGCAGCTGAGACATACCTCATTTATGAGTCCATTACAACTGGTATTCATTCTACACATTCATGCTAGGTTTCAGCATGCTGGAAAGCAGCTGAGCAAACCCAGCAGAGCTTTCAGACATAAATGCCATTCATAAGATTCAGAAATCCCTTCTAACTAGGGTTTGGTTGGCAAATCATTGCCCCAGGGAAACATTCCCCTTCTAGAAGTGTCACACCTTAGCAGCAATCACTGTTTTCCCTGGGTGAAATCTGAAGCTATTCAGCATATCTCCTCACAGCTGTAGTGGGCTATTTTCCCCAACCAGAAGAAAAATCACAAGATGTTTTTCTTTTTTCACCTCTCTACTAGGAAAGTGTTTAATGGAAAAAGGAAGGACATGGAAGTGATTCACAGATGTCCAAGCTGACCATGGTCCTCAACATTAATCCAGAGAGCTTCAAATGGGCCAACCAATAGTGAATGACTGCCTGCACACCAGTTTGAATGCTGCAAGCAGTCTCTGAACTGACAGAGGAAGTGCTGATGAAAATACCAGACAAAGCAGCAAATGGATACAGAAAATCTGATTTACATGTGAAGATCATCACCTGCCAAGCTGCAGCCCTCAGCTGACCGGTGACCTATCGAGGCCACTGAGTGCACTCTGCAGCCACTCCACTGGATTCATTGCCTTGAGAGTACCTCCTGTAAACTTTGTGACAGGGTGTTGTGGTTCAACCCCAGCCAGCAGCCAGGCCCCACTCAGCTGCTCACTCACTCCCTGACCTACAGGACCAGGGAGAGAATTGGGAGAGTAGAAGTGAAAACTTCTGGGCTAAGATAAAGACAGTATAATAGGGAAAGCAAAAGCCACACACACAAGCAAAGCAAAACAAGGAATGAATTCACTCCTTCCCATGGGCAGGCAGGTGTTCAGCCTCCCCAGGAGAACAGGGCTCCATCATGCATAATGGTTACTTGGGAAGACAAACAGCATCACTCCAAACATCTCCCCTTCCTCCCTCTCTTTATATACTGGGCATGATGTCATGTAGTCTGGAATATCCCTTTGGTCATCAGAGTCGGCTGTCCTGGCTGTGTCTCCTCTCAGCCTCCCATGCATCCCAGACTCACTGCTGCACAGCAAAAAGCAGAAAAGGCTTTAGCTCTGTAAGCCCTGCTCAGCAACAACAAAAACATATATGTATTATCAAACCTGTGCTCAGCACAAATTCAAAACACAGCTCCTTACCAGCCACTGTGAACAATTCTACCCCAGCCAAAACCTGCATACAGGGACAGTTCACAGCTCCGAAGAAATCCTGAGCACCAATAGCTGCCTATGGTCCCACCAGATTTGGGAGCTGTCATTATAAAATCCATAAGACGTATTCCTCAGGATATCATTAAAGCAAAAGGAGCCGGCAGGAAACACAGTGTGGGTCCTCTCCTGATCTCTGGACCTTAACTGAGTCATTTGATTTCTTGGGGCCTTTATTTCCTCTGCTACCAAAGGAAGGAGAGAGGCACATTAGTCACCCCTGTAAAGAACACCAAGCTCAGTACACTGCTACCATGATTCACTGTCAATCAGATAAGCTGCCAAAGGGTCAAGAACAACAGTGGATTAATGCCACCACTGGAACACTGCTGGAGACTGAGCCATACAGTTTGCTGTATTTCAAGACTGATAATTATACAACATGTGATAGGCTGGTAGAAGCAATCATGTATCACCAGGAAGAGCTAAGCCACAGCAGCCAGGGACTCTGAAATACTGAAGCCTCCTGAAGAACCCCCAAGAGCCACCAGGAAGAGCAGCTGGCATTCACAGTGACATCTCAGTGCATTGCCAGTGCTTGTGGTGTCAGTTCCCTTCTGTGTCCACTTCAGAGGAATTTGAAATGCAAGTGCTCTTCTCCATCAGGTACGAGCCACCGGTAGCACAAGAGCTGTTCCATGCACTCAGGCACTCACATAATCCTCTCCCCTAAGGACAAGCTACAAGGTTGCACAAAAATATAAAAGAGACATGTATCTGCCAAAAGCAAGCATGTTTTAAAATCCAGCTTCTTCAGGTCTGGAAATAACTTGCCCTGAAATGCAACCTTCTACAAACTGCTGCCTACAACATCCAGCTCATACTCTCTGCCAGGACTGTTCACAGCAAGCATGTCTGCACAAGGGCAGGGTATGGAGGGAACCCATCCCCCATCCTTTTAGGATGATTTATAGCTACTAATAATGTTCCCTTCCCCCCTCACAGTAAGGTCTGGGCTTATCTCAGTGCTGCCAAGCAAAAGGCGTTTCTGTTATTAAGTGAGGAGCACAGAGCTGCCACTGTGATGTTTTCCTGCTTTTATTTTTGTCACATCCCTGCCTGGTCCATGGGAAGCAACAGGGGCAGGCGTGTGGCTGGGGAGAAAGCAGGCAGAAGCTCAGAGCAGTGGCAGCTATCAGCCAGCTTACACAAAAGGACTCCAAAAATGAGCAAAAGCTTCAGGCAAGCAGGAATCCAGTAAATTTTGCACCTGAAACTGTTTTGTTCCTGCTCTCAGATGATCTAAAGCTTTGCCCCAGCCTCTCTTACCCTTCCCTCTTGACTGAGCATGGAGCAGAGACCAGCAGAAGCCAAGGGACCAGCAGGCAGTGCCTTGCACACCTTGCACAGGTGGGTGAGGCAGTACTGAGCAGATAGAGCTGCACTTCTGCATGGATAGGCAAGAAGGGCTGAGAGACACTGCGAGGAACAAACCTTGTACAAGTCACAGCTTGTGCAAAGGCAGTCTCTTGTGTCCTTCAAAAGAGTTCCCTGACTTGGTTTGGGCATCCTCCACCGGGCTTGAGCAGATGGGAACATGGGCAGACTCACAAGGCACCGGGAACCTCCCAGTTCCACAGACACCATGGTTGGGTGAATAAAGCTCTGCACACCTTATAACATCATGCCTAAAGGCTTCCTTTGGAAAGGAGCCATGCCCTACCTTGAGGTGATTGTTCCCAAGCAACTGGGTAATACTGCCATTCAGTCATTTTGCTGTTGAACAGACAATGCTGAGAAGGCAGAGCAGCACTGATTCATACTGTGTCCAAAACAGGTCCCAGAGTGATGCTCTGTTTGGGTGGTGTTCTGTGTAAGAAATCTGGGCTACTATAGAAATATTCTAGATACTTACAACCAGACACATCAAACTATGTCCTTCATACCAGCTCAGACACAGGTGCCAGCATATGGAAGACACAAATAATTCCCATAATCTACAGATTTGATTGTGCACTCTTTATTCATGCAAAACTCAATGTAGTAGATAACAGTTTAGACCAGTTATAGGCTTGGACCCCTTTTTTTAAAAAAGGCCCATAGATTCAGGATTGGTTTGGATAGAAGAAAAAACTACACTACTTTCTTATACTACAAAGTGAAGCTTTGTGCACATGTGCCCCCTTGCACACACACTCAGGGCTCCATCTTGCCAACACCACCAGGACTTTTTGCACAGCTCAGATGACAACCTGCCAGGCAGCTGGCTTGCTATTACCTGCTTGCACTGGTGGCCAAGCAGCTATGAAATATCAGGTCTTCAGAAAGTCTTTGGGCAAGTTCATTTACAATAGAAAACACTTTGATTTAGCAGTGGGAGAAACATCTGGCTGCTTATTCAGCTCCCAGGACCTCTTCATAAAATTTCTATCTGTACCAGAGCTTGCCAAACACAACTACATTTTATATTTGATGTAATTCCCTCCATACATGCTATCTAACAAGATTTGTAGTAGGAGTATATGGTGTATAGGGTGCCTTTTTTCCTCCTGCAGGCAAGGATCCAAGAGGCAGCAGTGGGTATACTGAGGGAAGCTGCTGCGCACAGCAAATGAGAGGGAGGAAGGGTGGGAAGCATTTTTACGAAAAGCAGCATAACT